TGCACGTTTCCAAATTGCTAAATCGAACGAAAATGTCTTTCAGGACAAGATCGACCTCGTTGTGATTAGATCCCCCCTGAGCCACAACCATTACCTGGGTAGAACGACAGGAGACATCTACGGGTTATATGGCGACATAGAACGATTCAAACTCGAGACTCAAGCACTTCTCCGTCCCGAGACCGGTATCGAAGGTAAGGCACAGACTTCATCCTTTTCGTATGTTGGCCTAGGACTTTTCTGATGTGCATGGTATGGTATGCTTTCGAGAGAATACAACTCCATCAGCGCAAAATTCTGCTTGAAGTGTTTACTGCTGAGTACATAAAGGACTTAAAGGACATAAGTTGATAAAGGTCTTGCTTAGACATCAACATCCATCGGTGGCCTCTATCAAGAGATGGAAACTCGCAAGTCCATGTGAGCAGCAATTATTTTCACTTGTCTTCGGCAGAGTGTTTCCTTCGTTTTAGGACTGTTCCTGTCGGGACAGGACGTGATGACCTCCAGCCTGCTGGGAGCGGCGATCGGAGGAGTCTTCTGCGCGTCCAAGATCCTTAACCGCAACCTCATGAATGAGCTCAACGGACTCATGAAGGAGGCGGAGAAGCGAGAGAATCGTTCAAGTCCTGCACGGTGAATGAAATGAAACTGTCGTGAACTTCTTCCCCGCTTCACGGAGACTAATGCCAATCACGAGAACTGTGTATGCTCCCACTGTGCTTTAAAAAATTCACACTTTTAGCTATGAATAATAACTGCACATTTTCTATGTAAAAATTTTTTTACTAGAACATACAAAGTAGTAACCAAGGTGCAAATATTCTGTCATTTTAAGGATTTTTCCTGGAAGAGTGAGATGCACTTTTATAACTTTTTGATTGTCATAGTTGCTTATGAGCGAAAAATGAATGCGTAGATATTCTGCTTATGTAAAATCCCACTTTTAAAGAATTTTTGAAGGAGGCGGAGAAGCGAGAGAATCGCACATGGCCTTCTCCGGCCCGGTGAATGAAATGAAGCTGTCGTGAACTCCTTCCTTGCTTCACGGAGGCTAATGCCGATCACGAGAACTGTGTATGCTCTCACTGTATTTTAAAAAACTCACACTTTTAGCTATTAATAATAACTGCCCATTTTCTATTTAAAAAATTTTAACCAGAACATTCAAAGTAGCAACCAAGGTGCAAAGATTCTGTCATTTTAAGGATTTTTCCTGGAAGAGTGAGATGTACTTTTATAACTTATTGGTTGTCATAGTTGCCAATGAGCAAAAAATGTATCCGTAGATGTAAAATGTAAAATCCCACTTTTAAAGAATTCATGCATAAAATAAGCGCAAAATAATAGGCGTATATTTTCAATTGTTCCTTCAATTTCGAACAGTACAATCAAAATAGCTAAAATTCAATCATTTACCTTACTATCGCGTATTGATCAGTTCAAGTATATAAATCCTCATATTAATAGTTATGTTTTTTCCATATTTCATTCAATAAAAACGATTCATACTCCATTCTCAGCTTTATTTGAATTTGGAGAGGCAATTTGGTATTCTTCAGGGAGCAGATTGCCCAGGCAATTTGGTATTCTTCAGGGAGCAGATTGCCCCAGGCAATTTGGTATTCTTCACGGAGCAAACTGCCCGAGGCAATCCCAGTCCAGACAAACCCAACCGAACCCACGGTTCAACCTTGAAATTTAATCCGTGGCTAAATTTCAAGGTTGTGGCCGATTTCGAACTTGTGGGGCTCAGGCTATTGTGAACGTAGAGCTTGAAATTGATTCTATCGGTCTCGAACGAGAAAAAGCTGTGTTTGTTGTGCAGGTATCAAGTTAATACCGTGCCTTTATATGCAATTTTAAACGCGCGCACACCCACACACACCACACACCCACACACACACACACACACATATACGAGGGGTGATCGAGAAAAATTTTGACGGTGAGGCATTTGTCCCACCAAGGTATGGGATTTCCAATCGCGTAGAATTCCATGTCTTGCGCAGACATTCACTTTTTAAAATCTGTTTCACCGTCTCAACATCCGACCGAAAGTGACATCCACCGAGATGCATTCTTGTGAACGGAAACAGCTGAAAAATCGCTCGCTTGAAGATCAGAGCTGTCGGTTGCACACCGAAGGAACGCGAATCGCGTCGTCTTTCGTCGGAAAATCGCAATTCTCTCCAGTCGCATGGCACCGCTCTCCCAGTTCTTGTCGACCGTCGACACTCGTTCACCCGCAATTGATCTGCACCGGTCGTCAGGTCGACATGCCAACAGCTGGCGATGAATTTCCGCAGCGGAAGTGTGACTGACCAACAAAAAAACGGACGAAACCTGGAATTTCAACAATTTCCCATCGCCATTTCACGGCTGCACCGCTTAATGTCGGCTGTCAACTCAGGATTCTGGAGTCTGGCACGGCGAATGCTTGGGAACCTTCGGTGTTAATTGTTTTGAGGGATTCCTCCAGCAACATTGATGATAACGATGCGTGACGCGTTAGAAACTGAACCGATCTCGAAAAAAAAATATTTTAAATTCTTTTTTTGCTCTCGGGGCGCCAAGCTGGCCACTTCCAGGCATAAAAGAATATTAAATAATATTAAAAGAAAGAATATTAATAATATTAAGAAGGAAACCACATTTAGTCACATCCTAAAGCATAGAAAGTTAAAAAAACGAAAAGTTTTCCGCCGACACATTTCTACTGGATCATCTGAGATCATCCTTGGATCATCCGAGAATGACCGAGTGCTTTCAGGCCGATTTCGGTTTCGGAATTTTGAAAATTTTGAAGCAAAATGTGCCCCATGGCATGCATCCCCAAAGTCGCACTTCCCCTGAACCGATCATCACATCAACAACCACAAGTACTTGAGTACCGAGTTTCAGGTTCCTACTCTAGAACTAGCGTCAGTCGCTCACGATCCTCGACATTTCTCGATTTCACGTACGAACAGTTGATGAATGGGGAGAATGGCAACCGATCCGAGCGACAGGGCGCGATTTGCAACGTTCGATAGGTTGCGAGAATCCGATCGATGCAGATGGTTCAGGGAAATTGAAGGAATGCGGAAAGAACTTTTGGGGGAATGTGGCGGGGCCGAATGGGAGTCTCCAGCATTTCTGGTGCATTTTGCTCTCGAGACTCTTCGGTCTGTTGGTTTGCGTTGTGCATGGCCGTGCATTATCAAAACGAAACAAAATGGATGGCGCATGCTCCAAACTATGTAAGTTGCGAATGTAAATGATCGCAGTGAAATCGCGTGAAGATCAAGGGATCAAGGAAGATCAGGGGAATCCACGAGTTTCTCTCCGCGCAGGCCTTTCAAACGCGACGAGATCGCGAACTCGATCGTCGAAGGCTCGGTCTCGCGTCTCTCCGGAAATTCGAAAAATTTTCAGATTTGGATGCAAGGAATGCCGGACTTGCGGTCGTTGGCCCTGGGTGGGCTGGTCATCCTCCTCATCAAGATCTTGCAGTCCCTCCTTTTCAAGAGAAGGAGGTCGATGTTCTCCTTGGACTCGGTCCGACCTCCGGCCCCTCACGTGGCCGACCGGAAACTCCGAGCTAAAGTCCTCAAGCAAAGTATGCGAACGAGATCCTCACACCCCTCGGCATTACACTGCAATCGTAAGTCATAATCATTCCGCATGGTTTTCCCCTATCAGGTTTCTCTCCGGAAAAGGTACCTCATGGCCTCGACGCGATCGTGATCGGCAGCGGGATCGGGGGATTATCCGCAGCCGCTCTCCTCGCCAAGGCCGGGAAGAAAGTCCTCGTCCTCGAACAAAATGACCAGGTCCTGAGCTATCGAGAGCATCATGCTCTAATCGCCTGTGTGTTACGTAAATTAACGTGATATACGAGCGGTGCCAAACAAGTTTCCGCACTCAATTTTAACCCTTCGATGCCTGACGTAGCAGATATGCTACATACCGATGAACGTTTTTCGAATGGTTAATCTGTTTGCAGCGGATTTTTCGCAGTCCGGACATTATACCCAGCAACTTTGCGGTCGCGTACTTACTCAGTACTCAAGTTTATTACAGAATTTCAATAAAAGGATGAGAGTAATAGATATCAGAAATGAAATTGGGTGGGAGAAGGATCCAACGAAGCAAAATAATTGACTCCATCATCGAAATTTCCTGCCAAAAATGACAAAATATTTTTATTCTCATTAGAAAATTTATACTTGTAATTGTATTTTACTCAGTTTTTTTTTTAAATGGCCATTAATTATATCGTAAAATTATGTCGTAAAAGTCAAAGCCAGTTCCATCAACTTGCAATTTCATTATTTAGCAAGATAACAAAAGGAAGGTATTTTCGTAAGGGTTATGAAATAATTGATGTGATATCATTTCATCGTAACGCATCAATTATTTCATAATCCTTACGAAAACTCCTTCCTTTTGATAACTTGTTAAATTCTGAAATTGGTTTTTATGATTTAATCGCCTCTCGGAACAGAGGATTCGTGTAGCAACGCGAGCGCAGCTAGTATTTTAAATAAAGAAATTGGACCATATTGCGCACAGCTCAGTTCATTGAATGTGACATAATTTGATGGATTAGGATCCCTAGGGAATATACTATATAATAATGTTTCACATGAAATTACACATCATTTTGAGAACATATGATTTTGACTAAGGGAAAGTAAGAAAATTGAACATATGCAATGGCAATTAACGCATCGACGGTATGATCCAGGGGGTATCCTGCAAAATTTACCCGTCACTTAGTGGTTTACTGTATTTTGTCTAGGCTGGTGGGTGCTGCCATACTTTCATCGAGAAGGGCTATGAGTTTGATGTGGGAATTCATTCTGTGGGTGAATTTGGGAGAACGGGACTCAGTCGCACTCTGCTCGACCAGCTCACTGATGGTCAGCTGGAATTCGTCCCCATAGGTAGGCCACTGAATGCAAATACAGGTATCAAGTTCCCTAATAAAATATCACAAAGATGAGATGGAATCCTCACGGAGAAAATGGGAAGACTGAATGCGCTGCGTTGCTCGACAGACCCAGTGTACGATGTGCTGAAGCTGCGGTACCTGTCTGAGAAGAGTGCATCTTATGACTTCTGCTCCCCTAAGGAAAGGTGGATCAGCACCCTGAAGAAACAATTTCCAGGGGAAGAGGAAGCCGTTGACAAGTAAGCCTTTTCGAATTTCAAGTTCGGGTATTCTGAGAAAAAAAAAATGATTCCCTGCATATGCTACAAAATAAATCAACCAAATCTTTGAAATAGATTCATCAGGTACATAGAAGAGAGCACGAGTTTCATTTTCGTTTTTGGCGTGGTGAAGTTCCTTCCTCTCTGGCTCTCAAAATTGGTCATCAAGTTGGGCATCATCGATTGGTTCACTCCTTACAGCAAATGGGCTTCACGATCTGCTCAGAGTGTCGTTGAGGTACGCCAACTTCTTTTTCATAGTTCCTTCCTCTCTGGCTCTCAAAATTGGTCATCAAGTTGGGCATCATCGATTGGTTCACTCCTTACAGCAAATGGGCTTCACGATCTGTTCAGAGTGTCGTTGAGGTACGCCAACTTCTTTTTCAACTTTTCTTCCGAGCAGCTGAGTGTTAACATCAGGGTCGTCGGTAGCGAACAAGGGATATCGTTTCATAGAACAATTGAAAACATTGAAGTTTGCATCAAACTATATAGTAGAACCAGAAGAACATAAACTGTTTCTTTTCTGAATATGTTCTACCGTTTTCTTTGGGAGCAGTTTTCGAAAATATGTTATTGTACATCATCTGGCGTCGCCACTCAATTCCCTCCTTCTTCTTGATCTACAATGAACTCAAATCTGACATTTGTCGGAACTCAGAAAGGCAAGAAAGTGCTTGTCCTTCGCGATTTTCTCTTCGAGAGAGGGAGAAACCAGCAAAGGCGAAATTTTACTCGAAATGTCAGGACGCATGGGGGACAACTGACTATGGAACCTTCCAGTCATCATGATCATGCTCTTTGTCAATCGGTAGTTGTGATAGCGCACTCTCGATTTTCCCTAAAAGAAACGTTCTCCACTGGAGTGACAACGGCACATGGCCGGCAGCAATGATGGTCAAATTTGAAAATATTTTATTTTTGACCTTGAATATTCCCTCATATCCATGTTCCTTCGGAAAATGATGACTGCAAGTGCTGTAAAAAAAAGTCCCTTTCGACATTTACATCGTTCTTTTCTCCTACCGACATTGACAAGTTTCTACATTGTATTCTGCTATTTTCTTGTTAACATTTCATCTTTCTAGATTCAGACGCGAGCTGAAGTATAGCATCAATATCGTTTCAAGAATAACAGAAAAGAAGATTGTAAGAGTTGCAAACCGAGTTCGAGTAGTTAATTTTTAATTGCAATGGATTGACTTCGTTGGGAGTGGACCTTCACTACCATAGCTTTCCCACTCCTTCAGACTCGGGATATGAAGCAACCGTCATCAGCACACTTTGAAAATGTCTTCATTGGCCTCCTACATGCACAAGCATGTACAGTATTTATCTGTGTAAATGTCAGTCGTTTCTTTCAAGGCATGGGACAGTCCCATTTGATTTTCCTCGAGTCTGATATCCCTATCCTGGATATCCAGCACCCTACAAGCACGGCCCATTTAATTTTTCTCATGTAATTTTTCAGTGTCCTTCATGACATTTGTCGAATTGGAAATCTTCAGTTACGTTTGACCCTCTTTCATTGTTATTAGGTTCAGAATATCTGCACCTACGTTCCATAGTTTTTATTTTTCTCCTCTGAAATCATATGTTGTCAGTGAAATCATGTTACTTTGGCAAATTTGACTAGGAAAACGTTCAATTTATTGCCTTAATTTTTTTTTATCCCTTAGGAACTCACAGACAATGAAGATCTAAGGACTGCCTTTACCTACTTATGGGTTGAAATCATCTGTTACTTTGGCAAATTTGACTAGGAAAACGTACAATATATTGATTTAATTTTTTTTTTATCCCTTAGGAACTCACAGACAATGAAGATCTAAGGACTGCCTTTACCTACTTATGGGCGATCGCCGGAGTTATCCCTAGTGACGTTAGCTTCAACGTTATGGCCCTTCTTCATCATCATTATTATGGAGGTTTACTTTTTCGTGTTTCATTCAAAGAACCAAATATCTCTTTACTTCTTGTCCGACTCATAATGGAGGAGTATATTGAATAACTAGCGAGTTTGCTTGCCTTTGGGGCGAAGAAATTCGCTACGAACATGCGGCTTCGGTGCTCTATGATCAGTGGGAATTATTAATGAATTTAATGCATCCATTTTCGAATCTCACCCCAAATGATGCGGTCAAATTCCGTGATTTGGCGATTCTGACTCCTCAGGTGCACACACCCTAAGAATGAATTTTTCTGAGAAACTCCAGTTTTGTCAAATGAGGCCACATAAAGAGATCTGATTTTATGCGCACAAGACGTAATCGTAGTTATGATTTCAATATAAAGATTGGTAATGTCCCCTCATGTTTATGAATATTTGAATATTTCACAAGAATTAATTTTATCCTAGATACAAGAGCGCCGAAGGTGAGATCATAAGGAGTTCATCTGCCCGAAGGACAAATTCTCTCCAATTTAATATCACCATTTGCGTATCACATAAGCAACATTTCTGCAAACATGTTGAATATATGTAGATGAAGGTTTGCATGTAGTTGTTTTATTAACTATAATGTCTCTCTTTGCCCTTTTTGGGGAACTGGTTGGTTAGTTTTGAATATAGTATCACATTTATGAAATTTGTGAAAATTGTGGGTATGTGCTAACTAATATGCACCTTCTCAGATCACCTGAAGGATGGAAGTTTCCCATTGACCATCGATAAAAAGTTTCGGGTCCATGTGTGCTTTGGACTAGCGGCAAAGATTAGAGGGAATCAGGAATTCGTTTTAATCCTGAAGAAGCACATGAATAGGAAGGCCGAAAATGTATGATTATACTGAATATTTAGGGTCCTACTACCCTCGAGGAGGAGCATCAGAGATCCCGTTCCACATCATCCCTGTGATAGAGAAGTCGGGAGGGAAGGTCCTGGTGAATGCCAACGTTAAGAAGATCGTCTTAGACGAATCAGCGTCCAGAGCAGTGGGTGTGGTTGTGGAGAAAGACTCCAAATCCTTCAAAATCGCTGCTCCCATTATCATCTCCAACGCAAGTAGGTTCTTATATGTGGATTTATTGCGTAGTAAATTTTGCACAGAGCGTCCCATCAAATTATAAACGTTCCATATACTTTGTACCATATCAAGGAACTGATATATTAAATCTCATCAGGACATAATTATATAGGAGCGCAGTTTCATGATCGGTATTCCTAGAGTCCAAGACCCTGTTTTTTTTTCATTTTTTTAAGGTTCCTGTTATTTGTGTAAAATAACTGTTCAATTGCTTCTTTCATCTGTGCACTCCGTGCGTGAACACGATTATGCGTTAGCACGTCTGCAGAAATAAAGATTGTCTGAAATTGCAGGTTCGTTCAAACCAACAGATGAAATTGAAGTTTTAATTGAATTTCTCATTCCATAAATCCATCAAAACTTTCTGTGAGTGATATGGAGTAGGCCTGGGTCACGCCCCAATGGCGTGTGTTGGGCCTCCCCCCCCTCTCAAACACCTTGCCCCCCAAAAGAAAGGTTCCCCGAATGAGGACACTGCGCCGAAAGTTAAGAGATTTTAATCCAAGAGCATTTTAACTATAATGATATAGTTTAAATCAGGGGTGTGATATTCAAATCGGTCGGCGGACCACATTGCGTACCCTGAAGATGCCTGCTGGCAGGACCTATAATTGTTCACCGGAACTTCCGGACCGTATGCTTGCTACCCCTGGTTCAAATCATTTTCAGCAATCAAGCAGAACAATTATTCTTCAGGTTCTTCTCCATGTTCTTTCCGCTGTTGTTCTCCAACCCACATCGTTGAAATCCTTCAGTTCCAACAATCCTCCTCCTTCAGTTCAGTCCAATGACCCGTGGCGTCAAAGTGATATCTCCAAATAGTCATGGGATGTATTTTTTTTCCTGTTGAAATCCAAGATGTGACGGTGACCCTAACCAAGCTCTTGCCGGAAAAAGTTGGAAAGCGTGCCATCCAGTACCCAGTGCTGTCTAGAGTGAGACCGAGCGTTCCCTGCATGGAAATCTTTCTTGGCCTCAATGCATCCAACGAGGAGCTCAAATTGTCTGCACAAAATTATACCTGTGTCATGGACAATAACATCGAGGAGGTACGTGCAAAGGACCTGCTTTCACAAAGGACGCAAAGGACGACCGATGAGAACGAGGTTAATGTGATCATTTCTTTTCACTCGTTAGCTTTATCGCAAGTACAGACGGATGCCCATCGAGGAAGCCCTGAATGCTGAACCACCTGTCATCTACCTGGCCTTCCCCTCTGCTAAGGACCCTACTCATGACCAGAGACATCCAGGTAGCACGGCTGAGCGGACTGGAACCTCCTTTATTATTTTACAAAAAAAACTGGAATGGAGAACTCATTCAAATTGTTTTCGTGAAGCTCCTCAATACAGTCGTGTAACCCGGAATTCTATGTAAATGTTCTGCTTTTAAAATCCCTTGCCAAGAAGGAGGCCGAATTCGGTGGATTTCAACACATTACAGAAATTTCTTGTATGGAGTAGTTGGGTCAGTTTTGCTACTCTAAAACGAGATTTTCTTTAGTTTCTCTTCAAGGAATAGTTCCGGAGCTGCGCTATTACTATTTAACTGACACAATCACTCATCCCAAACCGGTGAAATGGGGTTTTTCAGTTCGTTCCCTATCATGGCCTCACGTTCACCGTATTTGGTACCATTTTCCATAAACCATCATCAATTCGGGTTTAGAAAACAATAGCCTACTCTCATCTGTGTATTGACCGACTTACCATGAACCCTAGCTGAACATCTTCAATCCCTAAGTATAGCTCTTAGAGCATTTGGCTCGGGAAAGTCGGGTTGTGGCTGAGGGCTGACATTCAGGATATTTGTTTATAAGGTTTGGATATTGGTTCCAATTGTTAAGTTATTTCATGCCTTTCAATGTTTCACGTTCACCGTATTTGGTACCATTTTCCATAAACCATCATCAATTCGGGTTTAGAAAACAATAGCCTACTCTCATCTGTGTATTGACCGACTTACCATGAACCCTAGCTGAACATCTTCAATCCCAATCCCAATCCCAATCCATATCCCAATCTTCAATTCAAGTATAGCTCTTAGAGCATTTGGCTCGGGAAAGTCGGGTTGTGGCTGAGGGCTGACATTCAGGATATTTGTTTATAAGGTTTGGATATTGGTTCCAATTGTTAAGTTATTTCATGCCTTTCAATGTGTCAGAAGATAAGACCGAGGGTGGGGTTCGTTATGATTGAGCAACTTAACTCAATGATTTGTGCAGAATTATCAAGTCAGAAGTTCGGCTGCAGATTCGTGTAACTCGTGTAACGAAACATTGTTTGGGCCAAAAGTATTTGCGGGCTCAGAAATTTGTCAAATGGGCTTTTTTTAAATTCGGCATGACTTTTCCTCTCTATACAGTTTTTTCTCATACAGAAAGAAGTGCATCAATGTTGATAGGTTATAGGAAGCGCATAGTTGTGGTTTCCTGGTAGCAGGTTTTATAGATATTCGAAACGTGAATATTATATCCTATCTAAACAACTTTCAGTGGCCGGGTGAAGTTGCAAGGTTAAGATTACTTGATGAAGCCTCTGCCAGAGGGGTATTTGTAGTCCCTAGAATTCATCTGCCAAAATGCGTTCTCTGTGCATGAAGCATGTCTTTTTTTTACCATGTGGCTGCGTCCTCGCAACTGCAGCTTGTATCAAATTTCCTCAGTCAGGAAAAAGAATGCGCAAGTCGAATGTTATTAAAATGTAGGTATCAGCATCCTCAAAATATCATTTTTTGCCCGACTATATTGTCCTAACACTAAGAATGAAATACCATGAAGCAGAATGAAATTACCCCTTGCATTCAAGCTAATGGAATTATTCAGCATCAGTTCAAAGCAGGATAAGTATCAGCAAGAAATACGGTGTGGCCAATTCTGTAACGGAGCCAGGGGTCAATTCCGCTGTGAACCTCACTAGATTCCTTTGGTTCTTGTGCATATTTTCCGTAATTGTCCAAAGAGTCTGGAATTGCATGGAATCTCTAGGGAAGGCAACATGCACCATAATCGGTCCCGCCGAATACGAATGGTTTCGCCCATGGGAAAACGAGAGCTTTTTACATCGAAATGACCGTTACGAGGAAATCAAGAAGACAATCGGCCACCGACTCATCGAGCAAGCATGCAAACTGTTCCCGCAGATTCGGGTGAGTTCGATGCGACTTTTGTCGTCTGTGACTGCACGTTTCCAAATTGCTAAATCGAACGAAAATGTCTTTCAGGACAAGATCGACCTCGTTGTGATTAGATCCCCCCTGAGCCACAACCATTACCTGGGTAGAACGACAGGAGACATCTACGGGTTATATGGCGACATAGAACGATTCAAACTCGAGACTCAAGCACTTCTCCGTCCCGAGACCGGTATCGAAGGTAAGGCACAGACTTCATCCTTTTCGTATGTTGGCCTAGGACTTTTCTGATGTGCATGGTATGGTATGCTTTCGAGAGAATACAACTCCATCAGCGCAAAATTCTGCTTGAAGTGTTTACTGCTGAGTACATAAAGGACTTAAAGGACATAAGTTGATAAAGGTCTTGCTTAGACATCAACATCCATCGGTGGCCTCTATCAAGAGATGGAAACTCGCAAGTCCATGTGAGCAGCAATTATTTTCACTTGTCTTCGGCAGAGTGTTTCCTTCGTTTTAGGACTGTTCCTGTCGGGACAGGACGTGATGACCTCCAGCCTGCTGGGAGCGGCGATCGGAGGAGTCTTCTGCGCGTCCAAGATCCTTAACCGCAACCTCATGAATGAGCTCAACGGACTCATGAAGGAGGCGGAGAAGCGAGAGAATCGTTCAAGTCCTGCACGGTGAATGAAATGAAGCTGTCGTGAACTTCTTCCCCGCTTCACGGAGACTAAAGCCAATCACGAGAACTGTGTATGCTCCCACTGTGCTATAAAAAATTCACACTTTTAGCTATGAATAATAACTGCCCATTTTCTATGTAAAAATTTTAACCAGAACATTCAAAGTAGCAACCAAGGTGCAAAGATTCTGTCATTTTAAGGATTTTTCCTGGAAGAGTGAGATGTACTTTTATAACTTATTGGTTGTCATAGTTGCCAATGAGCAATTACCTGTGTCATGGACAATAACATCGAGGAGGTACGTGCAAAGGACCTGCTTTCACAAAGGACGCAAAGGACGACCGATGAGAACGAGGTTAATGTGATCATTTCTTTTCACTCGTTAGCTTTATCGGAAGTACAGACGGATGCCCATCGAGGAAGCCCTGAATGCTGAACCACCTGTCATCTACCTGGCCTTCCCCTCTGCTAAGGACCCTACTCATGACCAGAGACATCCAGGTAAGCACGGCTGAGCGGACTGGAACCTCCTTTATTATTTTACAAAAAAAAACTGGAATGGAGAACTTATTCAAATTGTTTTCGTGAAGCTCCTCAATACAGTCGTGTAACCCGGAATTCTATGTAAATGTTCTGCTTTTAAAATCCCTTGCCAAGAAGGAGGCCGAATTCGGTGGATTTCAACACATTGCAGAAATTTCTTGTATGGAGTAGTTGGGTCAGTTTTGCTACTCTAAAACGAGATTTTCTTTAGTTTCTCTTCCAGCAATAGTTCCTGAGCTGCGCTATTACTTTTTAACTGACACAATCACTCATCCCAAACCGGTGAAATGGGGTTTTTCAGTTCGTTCCCTATCATGGCCTCACGTTCACCGTATTTGTTACCATTTCCCATAAACCATCATCAATTCGGGTTTAGAAAACAATAGCTTACTCTCATCTGTGTATGGACCGACTTACCATGAACCCTAGCTGAACATCTTCAATACCTAAGTCTATCTCTTAGAGCATTTGGCTCGGGAAAGTTGGGTTGTGGCTGAGGGCTGACATTCAGGATATTTGTTTATAAGGTTTGGATATTGGTTCCAATTGTGAAGTTATTGCATGCCTTTCAATGTGTCAGAAGATAAGACCGAGGGTGGGGTGCGGGGTTCGTTATGATTGAGCAACTTAACTCAATGATTTGTGCAGAATTATTAAGTCAGAAGTTCGGCTGCAGATTCGTGTAACTCGTGTAACGAAACATTGTTTGGGCCAAAAGTTTTTGCGGGCTCAGAAATTTGTCAAATGGGCTCTTTTAAATTCGGCATGACTTTTCCTCTCTTTATGAATAGATTTTTCTCATACAGAAAGAAGTACATCAATGTTGACAGGTTATAGGAAGCGCATAGTTGTGGTTTCCTGGTAGCAGGTTTTATAGATATTCGAAACGTGAATATTATATCCTATCTAAACAACTTTCAGCGGCCGGGTGAAGTTGCAAGGTTAAGATTACTTGATGAAGCCTCTGCCAGAGGGGTATTTGTAGTCCCTAGAATTCATCTGCCGAAATGAGTTCTCTGTTCATGAAGCATGTTTTTTTTTTTACCATGTGGCTGCGTCCTGGCCACTGCGGCTTGTACCAAATTTCCTCAGTCAGGAAAAAGAATACACAAGCCAAATGTTACGAAAATGTAGGTATCAGCATCCTCAAAATATCATTTTTTGCCCGACTATATTGTCCCAACACTAAGAATGAAATACCATGAAGCGGAATGAAATTACCCCTTGCTTTCAAGCTAATGGAATTATTCAGCACCATTTCGAAACAGGATAAGCATCAGCATAAAAAAAATACGATGCGGCAAATACTGTAACGGAGCCAGGGGTCAATTCCACTGTGAACCTCACTAGATTCCTTTGGTTCTTGTGCATATTTTCCGTAATTGTCCAAAGAGTCTGGAATTGCATGCAATCTCTAGGGAAGGCAACATGCACCATCATCGGTCCCGCCGAATACGAATGGTTTCGTCCATGGGAAAACGAGAGCTTTTTACATCGAAATGACCGTTACGAGGAAATCAAGAAGACAATCGGCCACCGACTCATCGAGCAAGCATGCAAACTGTTCCCGCAGATTCGGGTGAGTTTGATGCGACTTTTGTCGTCTGTGACTGCACGTTTCCAAATTGCTAAATCGAATGAAAATGTCTTTCAGGACAATATCGACCTCGTTGTCATTAGATCCCCCCTGAGCCACAACCATTACCTGGGTAGAACGACAGGAGACATCTACGGGTTATATGGCGACATAGAACGATTCAAACTCGAGACTCAAGCACTTCTCCGTCCAGAGACCGGTATCGAAGGTAAGGCACAGACTTCATCCATTTCGTATGTTGGCTTAGGACTTTTCTGAGGTGCATGGTATTGTATGCTTTCGAGAGAATACAACTCCATCAGCGCAAAATACTGCTTGAAGTGTTTACTGCTGAGTACATAAAGGACTTAAAGGACATAAGTTGATTAAGGTCTTGCTTAGACATCAACATCCATCGGTGGCCTCTATCAAGAGATGGAAACTCGCAAGTCCATGTGAGCAGCAATTATTTTCACTTGTCTTCGGCAGAGTGTTTCCTTCGTTTCAGGACTGTTCCTGTCGGGACAGGACGTGATGACCTCCAGCCTGCTGGGAGCGGCCATCGGAGGAGTCTTCTGCGCGTCCAAGATCCTTAATCGCAACCACATGAGTGAGCTCGACGGACTCATGAAGGAGGCGGAGAAGCGAGAGAATCGCACATGGCCTTCTCCGGCACGGTGAATGAAATGAAGCTGTCGTGAACTCCTTCCTTGCTTCACGGAGGCTAATGCCGATCACGAGAACTGTGTATGCTCTCACTGTCATTTAAAAAATTCACACTTTTAGCTATGAATAATAACTGCCCATTTTCTATTTAAACATTTTTTAACCAGAACATACAAAGTAGTAACCAAGGTGCAAAGATTCTGTCATTTTAAGGATTTTTCCTGGAAGAGTGAGATGCACTTTTATAACGTTTTTGGTTGTCATAGTTGCTTATGAGCGAAAAATGTATGCGTAGATATTCTGCTTATGTAAAATCCCACTTTTAAAGAATTTATGTATAAAAATAAGCGCAAAATTATTGGCGTGTGTTTTCAGTTGTTCGTTCAATTTCGAGCAGTATAAGCAAAATAGCTAAAATTCAACCATTTCCCTCGCTCAATTTGCATTGCTCAGTTCACGTGTCCTCATTATTAATTATGATTTTTCCATATTTCATTCAATAAAAACGCATCATATTCCATTCTCAGCTTTACTTACATTTGGAGAGTGGCTTAGCAAAGTCGGCGTTTCAGGCTTCTTCCGTGTTGAGATATCTGTCTACCCAAGAAGCATAACAACCCACGAACGAAAAACTCCCTGAGACCCCGATCGCCATGGCTTATTTCACCCAACGCGATACTCCATCACGAAGACCCACGTCCGCGATCCGGTAATGCCACTTGTAGAAGTGACCGTTGTGATAACTTGTCGGTCCACCATCCGCTTCCATCGGAGGAGCATAGCCAAGGACTAATTCCCCCCCTCCCCCCCCCCCATACCATAGACTTTGACACTGCTTGCAGACAAGACACATTATGCGATTTGGGGCGGTTTTTTGGCGGTGAGTAGGAGTTTCGAATGGTGTATGAGGAAGAGGAGGGAGGTTGTAGAATGCTTTCAAAAAGAAATTTTGTTGCAGAAAACATGAATTCCAAATTTCAGTTCAATTTGTCAGCGCCATTTTAATGCTATGCTTAAAAATTGTACAGCATTCTAACACCATTACCAGAATTGTTGCACATAAACATGGTGAAGGCAAGTGTGAAATGAATTTGCACTTGGTGGCCTACAAGCGAACTTCCCCAACTCACGAGAAGACTTTGGTCGTTTGATTAATTGGGAATAGTCGGTTTTTCGTTCACGATTCTCCCTTAATTATCTCACTTCGACCGCGTCTCGGAGTTTCGATCAACAGTCGATATTGATGCACCGATAGCGCGTCCAACGTCAACCAAGTCCAATCCAGCAAAGTCGGTCCAGGATGGAAAGTGTCGCTCTATCCATATATCCATGTGACCGAGGGGAAGGACGTCGCGAGTGCCAGCATGTCGGAAGCTTCAATAGGAGGCGATTGTTTCGTCCAACGTCCTCTAGGAAAGCCAATCATTTGGAATGACTCAAAAGTGAGATGGAGGATAGGAAATCGACGAATCAAGGGGAGATTCCAATACTCTTCGATCTTCGATCTTCGATCTTCGATCATGACATGACAACATGAAATCGTATTTTTAAGATTATCGTTTCTTCCCGTTTATCCCGATTATCAACCGCTTCAAGAAATTAGATTTACATCCACGTCAATGAGTGATGGCAGGGTAAACGGTCGCGGCGTCATCGCGATCGTTCCGTTGCGTTGCATCGAAGCATTGAAGCATCGAAACCGACAATGAGTGGGACTTGATTTCTTTCATTTCGACCGTCATTGGAAATAAATGGCGAACACTCGGTGCCATGAATTCATAAAGTGTGGAGCCAATCTGTTCACAAAAGCGAGAATATGGGAATAGGTTGATTTGAATTTTTTTGGGAACCCGTAACTTGGCGAACCATAAATTGGGTGGATTCCGAAAACTCCATTTCTCGCTTCATTCGAACTCAATGATGGTTCTCTCATATGATTCCATGAGACGACTAAAATATATACATTAAAAAAAATCAGACTTAAGTTAAGCTTATGGGAGGCATTCAGAAAACTTGAATATATTGCACTAGACTGATTTAAATTCAAGAATATTGCTGCTGAGAGTCTCACTGGGCAGAGGGTACTCCAGAAAGTACTAAATGCCTCCAGATCTTCAGGTGAGGATTCAATATATAGTCTATTTTGGTCCGTCTGCCAGTTGGTTTCATTATGGAAGGGAAATCCCATTTTCTTTCGCCCCTCCAGCTTTTGTTGGAAGTCATCCATCGATTCACCAAAGGTCATACTCAAAAAAAGTTTAATGTCAATACTTAAAAACTTGAAACAGCACATAAATTATTGATCCGATCTAGTTCGTGATTGCGACCTGTTGATATTGGAAAAAAACGAACTTAATTTCGGAAGATGGAACAAACTGTGAGGGACAAAGGACCATCATGAGAACGTAGCTAGAGGAAACCCTCTTGCAGTCATGATTTTAGGTATTTTAGGAATGTTCAATCCACTCCAGGTTGGTCTCTTGTTTTACCATTTAAAGTTAATCATCAATTCAGCCTAACGAAATGCCCCAATAATTTAATAAAAACCCATAAAAATTACATTTGGTTATGTGGGTGAGCCACCCACACAACTTCAGGGTACTGAAATACCCTAAAGTTGAGTTGGCGTGATAAAGTTGTCCATAGGTTGAAAACCTCACCGGTTTTTTATTATCGTGAAGGGGAATTCCGCACGAGAAGGGATTAGAAGTGTTGAGACTACTCGCTTAAAATAAGTTTAACTTGTCCTGATCTCATCCAGATGTTAAATATAAATAAAAGAATAGGTAATGCTGGTAATACTTACCCTTCTGCTCTGCCGTTTCCTAGGGACGATGCACGAGTTTGTCCTCCACGCCACTGCCTGCAGGAACTCTTGTCCATTCTCAATGTCTAACTTATTTTCAATAATTGCTGATAGACTTGCTTTTTCACAAAAAATTTGGAAAAACTTGAGATACCGGTCGGAAACATATTCTTATATTCAGTGTGAAAGTTTTGTGAAAATAGCTCTATTAGGAGGAAAGGTATCTGTATTGATGTTGAAAGTCGTTGGTCTTTCTTTTCATACTCTGTAAGGATCCTTAAGAATAGTAGCCCTATCCGAAAATTAATATAACGCTCCACCGCGACATGTGATATCGAAATGGGCGTTATTGCCTTCTCAAACTACTAACATAACTAACATGAATCTGGAACCTTTAACCTTGGGTCGGGATCATCGACACCTTCTCTGCGGAATCCATCGAGAACTCGATTGGGCGAAGTCTTCCATTGCATTTGGACTGGCCACAAGGCTTAACAAGCTAAGAACTTAAGGGGATGAATGAAACTGAGAGGCGTGCTCGGTTGGCCTTGAAGAGATTGCCTTCAACTCACGAAGCCAGGAGGTCTTGGCAGCAGACCTGCTCACAGGACTGAAAGGAAACGGAGTAGAATGATGGAGGAGGGGAGGTTTCCCTAACTGGCGAGGCGCAGGCTCCCAGACGCATCGATCCAAGTCCGAAATTTTCGTCTGGGGGGATTTGCTGCGTACAATCATGTCAGGAAATGGTTCACCGACTGGAAGAATTTCGTGTTTGAGGGTAATCGCGGCTGATCTTCGGGGAACGTGGACCTCTGACCGCTGCGAGACAACTGAAACGAGTTATTTTAGCCTTTTAGTAATAAAAAAAATTCTCGCTGATTGCATACCTTCATTCTGGTTTTGAGGGAGAAAATGCTCACTTGACGCAGTCGGCAAGTAAACCTTTAGTTGTGGTTGCCAAGCTGGCATTTATCTTGAAGCTAAGTCAGGAAGAACTTCAAGGAATTTAAAATAAAAATTTCGATCACTCAAGGAGTCAGCCACCATTTATCTCCAACCGTCCTACACAAAAGACACGAACTCACAGAAATATTATGTTGGAATGAATCAGCGGTTTGTTTTCTTGGTTTGGATTGCACAGCTACTTCGGTCCACCTTGAGTGAGCCACACAATTACGTCTGTCGGCTTGGAGTTGGCCGCATTGAAATGGTTCGTCTTCTAACTTGACAGATAAATTAAATAATTATTGAAATAAATTTCAAAATTTTCTACCAATACATGCTGTATTGTTCGAAATTAACCAAATCTCTTACACGTGAGTTCAAGGGTCACACAGTGTGTCTCTTTGGAATGTTTCGGAACTTTTTCTGCTGAGATCCAGTATTCCGTGAAATTCGTTGCTTTCGGAAAAGGGGGAAGAGAGAGGAAAACCGACGAGATAGTTCTCCATGGAAATTTGGTTCTTCAAAATGCCGTCTCCACTTTTTCATTTAAATGTTCATGGTCTGTAGTTTATTGGCTTCAAGTATTTAGTGCTGCAGGGGTACCAGCGAGCCGGTAACTCTTTAGGGTAACTCATGTTTGTTCTCACTTAAAATGAATATTTGTTTCAAAAACTTGAAATAAGTGGTAATGCGAGGAATCCAAGGAGACCACGATGTTTTAAATAAGAAAGGTCTAATAGTTGTTTTAAGGTCATTTCAAAGTTCAAGGTCGTTACTTTGAAATAATTACTGCATGATATCGGAAATACCTTCAATGCGGAGAAATTCATTTATATATTTTTTCATTTTAACCGGTTTTCCGTTTAGAAGAAAAAATGCACAAAGAAGATGATGTCATTTCTGGCGAATAATCAAGGAACAGGAAACAAAGTGAAAGCCATCTCATAATGAATTTACATATTATTCTATAATTAAGTTCTCTGCGTTCATTTCCCCTATAAATGTATGACATTATCTACATCATGACTTAATAAGTGTCAAAACGTCGTATTTAATAGGGTTGCAAACAAAGAAGTTCGCTGAAAGCCACTTCGAAGCGCCTGACGACAGGCCATACGTCAGCGTTTAAATTTCTATGTGTTGGCTGCCAACGTTGGCCGAACGTGGGCCAGCAGGCCAAAGGTATTCCAGTTCAAATGCTCAAATTCAACGAAATTTTTGGGCGGTCTTTAGATATCACTTGCTGGAATGACCGCATTGCCTT